CTTTGTTTTAGACAGTAGGTAAAATGAGCAATTTAATGAAACGTATCACAATTACCTGTGTAAAAAGAAGACAAATAATCAAAATGTTAATTAACAGTGAAAATAATGACTAAAAATATCCCTATATTAATTATTATGTAAAGAGAAAAATTCTCCTATAATAAAGAGAAGTATACTCTGCCAATACTGTAAACATCTCCTCTCCAGAAAGAAGACAGTATATGTGTTCACTGACGCAACTAACACAACATATTCCAGCACCATAATTGATGTTTACGTTTCTGCTGCAATGCATTTCACTTACACACTCCTTTGGATCAGTCTGAAAATTAAAAAAACAACAACAACAAAAAAACAATTAGCGTGCATATTTATTGCTGCACCAACATTATTTCTAAACGTCAGTCTCGGAGGGAAGCCAACCTTTTCTGTTTTCTATTAACAGGTTTTGTTCTGCTCCAATAGTACTTTTCTAAAAGTCAATGCTGGCTCAAGGAGTCCAGAGCAGAAAGTTCTCAAACTTATAAACAGTTCTCACAAGTAGAAATGTACAAAGCACTCGAGGTTAAACAATTATTGCATTACATTTAGAGAATGGACCAGCCGCAGACTGGAACTGGACAATTTGCAGTATTCTTTTTTTGTACCAATACCAGCACCTTTCAAAATATGGAAAATGAGACCACACTTCATCTATATACAGTGGTCCTTCAATATAACGCGGTTCACCTTTCGCGGCCTCGCTGTTTCGCAGATTTTCTTTGTGCAATTATGCACAAAAAAAAAATACTCTTAACAGCACATTGTGTTCTGCGTCTTGATTGGCTGTAGACCACTGTCAATCAATCTCTTCCATGCCGTGTCTCCTGTACAGTACAGAATGTGTTCTGCTTGTCAAATTTACATAAATCTTCAATTGCCAAAAGTCTGCTTCTGAAGTGCTGTACTGCATGTTTATATGTTTTGTCCCCAACGAACACAACAATTTCGACGAAACGTTTTGCACCATCAAAGGCACCTGCAATAGCACCAAAAGGGCAGATGAAGATGCTAACCATCGCGCAAAAAGTTGGACTTCTGGACATGCTAAAGGAAGGCAGAAGTTACCGTATTTTTGGGATTATAAGGTGCATTAAGCGAAACAAAACAGTCAGATAAGTCATACTTTACTCAACTCATTCTTCTTGCTTCCTCTACTTCCATATCATTGATTCATTAATGTTGAATACTCTCTCAGCTGCTCTATTCCCATGTTCTGGACCTGAAAACAGGGTTTGATCTTTGTTTCATTCTATAATACTGGACTTATAGAAAGGTTTGAACTTTGAGGGTGTTTAAACAAGAGAGAAAAGTGTGAAAATGTTCATGCCTGTCTGATTAAAGTGTATAAAGTGTGTAGTGAGGGGTTTTACAGCCTTAAAACATCTATAATAATTGTAAAAAATAAAGCTACTTCACGGATTTCACTTATCGGGGGTTATTTTTAAAATGTGACTCCCGCTATAAACGAGGGACCACTGTATAGCATTATTTTAAGGCTTTTTTAAATGCAACTTCAATATCTGTAAACTCTTTGCCACCTACCTTGGGACATTACAGTTTTCAAAATACATCCAAAAGAAATCTAAACTCATAACCATAAGCTATTAAACTGCATCACCCCCATACACACACCAACACACTTCACGCACACCAGGACCCATGACATTCATAAGAGGAAATGAAAAAGAGCTTTGTCCTGTCCTGGGCACTGCCATGCAAGACAGTGATTGTGTTGAGTCAATGTGATTACCTGGGAGTCACTCTCTGGAGGGAAACGCTGCTGAGTTATCACAGTCTTATTATTCCCAAACTAATATCATAGCCTGCCAATCACTTGCTTGCCTTTCTTAACCACATGCTGACAGGTGTGGTGTTGCACACATACTGTATGAGAGGCATAAACACACATAGACAGGAGTACTTTTAAACCGAAATGCATCCATATAGATCTGCACATGGTGAGAAGTAATAGAATGCGCAGAGAATGAATGAATGCACCCAGACACACGTACAATCACTCAACCACACAGGCTGCAAGCCAGCAGACATTCACACGCAAACTTCCTCAAAGGGCCCCAGGGTGAGGAGAATCGTCCTCTTCATCTGAAGTAGGGAGGAAGCCCATTGGCCAAATTAGATTGTGCCATTTCCTGACGGAGTTAAGCATCAATCTGCAGCACTGTGCAGTGATTCGCAGTGACCTTGGCCTATCACAGCACAGTGTCTGGGAATGCTCAGAGAGGCTCTTAATCAGACCTGGAGGACATGGGGCCTATGATGACATTACTCAGCCTTTATCTCTCTACACACGTCCCACTGTTTCTCTGTATGTCTGTCTCCCAATCTGCCTATTCCATTCGTTGCCTCTCAGCTCCAGGATGAGGAGGTGGCTCTACAGCTCAAATGGACGCTTACTTAACCTGACCTCTGGATGTAATCCTTGTCCATTGATCCAATTCTACGCTGAGCGTTTGCCCTCACAATGCTGACCAAACACAGAAAACGTTTGCCCTTTCGTATCAAATCTGACCTATTTCACTCATTCCACTCAACAGGTACATCAACAGGTCAGTTTCTGCATCCTGTCCAGCATCCATCCTCAGACAACACATGCATAAAGGACCATCCCTTAAGCAATACACACTCATCCTCAATCCAGGGCTACTGCAGGCCTTATGTGAATGATGAGACTGTGCTGAGATGGAGATAAATGAGCCTTCATTACAGCCATGATAGCACAAAGCAGCACCAGAGAGAGGGATGGAAGAAGAGAAGCTTTCTTTTTTTCATCTCACCCTTCCCTCATTTACCACGACCAAGGTTCTTAACACATAAAGGACACAAAAGGACACAGTACATTTGATAAATATGTGCATTCATAGAGCCGTCACCTATATATACACATAAATACCATAAAAAAATGTGCATTTATATTGCTTATTTATGCGCCTTCACATGTATTTACAGTTCTTTAAAGCAAACTTCATCCATAGAGTCTATATAGCAAACGCCTACGTGGTAAATGGAATTCTCTGTCAGGACCTATCAAGGAAAAGCTTTGCCTTCACATGGATAACACACTTCTGCAAACATACACACATTTGTGTACGCATAACTTTCTCATTCCCACAGCCATGCTGCATGCCAAATGAATACAGTAAAAGCATACCGTTTTAGGTACATTTGGCCCATTTGATGATTGAAAGAGATTTGTAAAATCCAAGATATAAAAAGCCTGTCTCTTTGTTGGCAGACAGTGTAAGGAGAATGTAATTACATTTTTCCTCTCTTGGTTTAACAAATGATGTTCTGCTGTACGAAGGGTACAAAGTTATGAGAGCTGCACAGCACCTGTACGCACATTCAGACACACTTGTACACAGAAAATGTAGCACAACAAACAATGTGATATTACAGCTGCCAGTACAACACAATAGACCTCTGTTTTTTTTCACACAAAGTAATATTACCACTCATATCCACTCTACATCAGCGCCAATTTTCACTGTGCCAATTTTGAGCTATAGAAATAGAGGAGCAAGTCAGAATTTTAATAACCTCAAGACTAGCAAAAGCCCATGAGAGCGTACGTATATGTGTAAGTAGATAAGTGTGTGCCGGCTGCTGAGTCATGGATCCGTCTGAGTCAGTTCTCAATAGGTCAAATTCAAGATGTTACCTAAGAAAGACATGATGGGTTGTCAAAAAGGAAAAAGGAAACGAAATAACAGATACTGAATGAGACCATCCTCAAGGCATGCAGACCAAGCCTTTCATTCTCCCTCATGCACCCACAGTACATGTCCCCTTAGGCCTCAAGTTCAGGCTCTGGCTGTTGAACAAACAAATGCACACACAAAAGAGACACAAAATAAATTACTGATATACTCGACTGGCTCTAAGCCAATCGAGTGACTTGCATATTCTGTCTTGGATATCCCCATAGCTGAGTGTACAATGTAGAAATTTAGTGCTAAAAACATCCAAAATGAGTGATTTAACTTTAAAAAAAAAAAAAAGAGCTTGGAGAAGAGGTTTTCTCAACATAGGCTCTGCAGCACTGATCCTGTACTGCTCAGGTGCCGCTGAGCAAACATGACAAAATGAATAAAAGGAAGGTGTAGCCAGAAAGAGAAAAAGCAGCACCACTTGGCTATCCATCATGCAGCATTGCACCTTATGACTGAGGTACAGTCACTCCGCTCAACTAATCTGAAATCGGCTCAAAATATTTTCAGCTAAATAGCTTTGTATCTTCTTATCTGGCAACAAGTCCTATAGTGAGACAATACTCTAATACATTTAATCTTTTCATAATGAACACTCCTACATATCAGTACCCCAAAAAATAACTAATACTATGATATTACTGTACAGAAGTACTAAATTACATTAATTAAAAGACGCACAGATGCTCCCAAATATCTGTGAGAGCATACTTCTCTAGCCTGCAACCTTGAGGCAGCGCCCAGCCCAAAGTGATGGATATTCTGATACAGACGTTTTTCTTGCCAGCCAAGTCCAAGCCAGTGAGAAAAAACACACACACAAACACGTCTGTCATCCTCGCTGAGCAATGGCTGGCACAACATACATCTCCCTCTCTCTCCTGTTCCATCCATCTCCAGTATTCTCCATTTATATTTCCTCTGTTTGCCTCATATCAGCATCTCTATATCTGACTTCTGTAAGGATGTATTCATCTACAACATGTCACAGAAGAATATCTCCCTCTTAATGCTTATCTACTACTCTTACAACTCCTCTCCTGAGCGTTGTACTTAACTTGAACACTTGCACTGAATTTCAGTATGAAAATAACATGCTGCTGCAAAGAAATAAAGTCTATCTAACTCATATAAGGTATCCTCTCTACTTAGTCACTCACAGCCTCCGAATACAAATTCAAACACAGAGCAGACTCTCTCTTACTCATCCCTTTAAGTGCTGACACACACCTGATGGATCCTCCGCTTAGTCCCGTTCCTCCTCCTCTGCTTTGCCACCACACCACGAAGGTCACTCCCGGCCCACTGTCGCTCTTCCTTCTCCTGTTTTCCTCTCCTCTTACTATCTGTCCTTCTCCTCCTCTCTCTGCTTTGGTCAGAAAGAGAGAGAAGAAAATCCTTCCACAGACAGGAAATCCTCAGCTAGAGACAGAGACACTTAAAGATTGTAAAGCCTAGCTGCTGCTGAAATACACAGGAGCTGCTGACTGACTGAGCTGTTAAAGTGCTGGAGGGAGGCTAGCGTGGCTACGATACGGTCTGCACCACAGCAGTGTACAGACACATGAGCAGCCAGAAAGCTCAGGGAGTCGCTAGCTCAAAGCTCACCGCAGCAGAGCTCCGAGTCAGCAACCTAGCCCCCCACCCTCCCCTCCCGCCTGGCTCACTCTCGTTCTGCCGCTGCCCCCCTCCTTTCCTCTTGCACAGTTACCACATTCCACCTAATAGCAGAATCCTCTCTTCCTCACTTTCTTCTTTATTTAACTAAAGTATACATCACTCTCATCCCCAGCTCAGGCATTTCCCTTCAATCAGACAAGAAAATCCTGCAGCTGAGATGTAGGTAAAATCTTATCTTCTCACTAATATATCTTCAAGGCAAGATTGTGTTAGTGAACACAGGATGAAAAGGACACCTTAAAAGCACCAAGAAGAAAGTCAAAAACCTGTTTCTCTCTTTTCTTCTTTCAGCTCCTCCCTTTAGGAGTTATCACAGTTGATGATCTGCCTTCATCGTACCCTATCCCCACCATCCTCTTCTGTCACACCAATCCTCTCCGTGTCCACCTTTACTAGATCCATGAATTTTCTCCTTGAATTGTCTACCTCTTTTCGGCCTGTCTGGCTAACTTTGTCTCTAAACTACTCAACCTGAGTTGTCCCTCTGATGTATTAATTTCTCCTCCTCATCCCCAATAAAAATCTTATCACCTTGACCATTTTGTAAACCCTCCCTTTCACTGTTGCTACGATCCTTCAGTCAAATGTGTTGAACTATACATTTTGTTTCTTTTTGAAACAGCAACATGCACCTACCAAGCAATCATCTCATGCGAACATGTCCATAAGACCATTTTCACTCTTTTGCTAAAGGTAAAATAAAGATTAAGTTCAAGTTTGGGAGTTTTAGTCACCTCTTCAAGTGATTTTACGCTCTTACTCTGTTCTCTTTTTCTCTACTATAATGATTACTTGTCAGTGAGTGAAATTTTAGTTGGAATAAAAACCTGCAGACTGTGGGCTGTCTATTGATTGTGAAGTTCTCTGTCTGCCTTTAAAGAAATAAAAAGACATTTCATTTAAACTTGGCCAGTAACCCCTTCAAGTTAGTTTCCTTCCAACTGCTATTTTGTAAACATGTTCTGAAAATCTCTTCTTACAACTTGCACTTGTGCATTTGTAATGTGCGCTGGATCTTCTTCAGTGTGTCGAAACAGCAACCAATCGACTTCACTTTGGGGAAAAGTAGAAAGTTGAGTGGAGCCAAATTTGGCAAGAAGGTCAGTTGGTGAGTGAAGATTCAATTGGTGTGGCCAATGGAAGCATGTAATGCCACTCTTTGAGTTAAAAATGCTCCGTCAGATGTCTCATAACAATACAGTAAACCCTTTGGGCATCAATTCACGGTACATAACCCAGTGCGTGTCAAAAATTGATGAGCATGCTTCTGAATGATGTTTCACTAAAATCTTCTGTTTGATCTGACACCAATATCAGCAACAGTCTTAACAGCATTACAGTTGTGTCAAGAAGATGCTGCTAAAAAAGTACTGCCCAAGCAGACTACCTGGAAGAAGAGATCAGCCAGATCTAAATGAGACAAGATTTTCATTTTTTATGGGCATACTTGTAGAACTGTATGATCACAGCTATTTGTCCATACCCCTAGCTGATTTCTACCAAATATTTTTTATACAAAGACAGAGATACAGAGATGAAAAAAAAACAAAAAAACAAAACAGTTCTGTTCAGCTCAGATAGACTTTTTTTTTTGCTTACCTTTTAACACAAACAAGCAACATACAGATCACAAAAAACCATATACAGTCAAGAAGACAGCAATAAAAGAGGGACACAGTGGCCCCAGATTAATCTAAATCCACACACCACCACCTTCACCCCCACTATTTATCATTTAAAGTATTCATCCTCTCCAAACCTAATGCCCTCACAAAGACAAGCTTATTCAGCCCTCCTTAACACACAGATTAGCCACAGACAGACTACACACACTGAGACCCACATAGTGGAGTGGAAAGAGATGAACACATAAAGAGTGGGAGGGGGAAGTCAAGTGGAGCATTGCCCATTGGGGAAAAAAGAGCAATCCAGGAAAAAGAGACTGCAGTCACTGTATCAGAAAGGCTCACTTTGGACAGGTGTTGGAAAATCAATAATTTACCAAATTTCTGTCTGTTGTTATGACAGGCACTAAGCAGTGCAGTACAAAATAATACTGCAATATCTTTTGTTTTTAGAGTCATAATGTCAATTATGACATCATACATTTAACACCATTTCAATGCAGGAAACACTATTTGAGGCTTTGAGGACACAGTGAATACAAGCTCAAAAGTGAATTTAATTTAAACCTCAAGTGGTAACATTGTGGTATATGACTTCAGTCTTAGGTAAATTAAATGACTGTTTCTTACTGACTGAAATAGCATTTATTTTGGAAACTAATTGATAGTCGCTCTAGCCAACACAGTGAACGCTAATATTTATGCCTAAAAACAGCAGTTCTTTAAAACGGACATCTAGACATCACAGAAAAAGTAAGCATGCCATGCTACAAATACTGGCTCGTCTATACATTTGTTCATTTCCTAACATGTCCCAGCCAAGTTGCACACATGTAATTTTTGGACGATTTGGGGAGAATTAGGTCAGAATATTTTCCACAGCTCTCACATGTTGCACACAGTCGGTCCGCTTTAGACAAATTCGCACCACTGGGAATACTATGTGCAGTTTAAACAAGGTAGCTGCCTGGGTAGATTGTGCAGGACACACGGCACCCACTCTCTTAATGTAAATGCAACACTCGGACTATCAGTTGCAATATTCTTCGCAATCTAGCATAACACTGCACTGAACATTTGATCTGTCACAGGCATCTCTGTGGCATAGGTACTATAGACAGAATGAAAGATGGACACAGACATCATGATGTCAGCCACTGGTTTTGAACTTCAAGCTTCAACCTTAGTGTTTTGGAATCCTTTTTACTTTTTGGCATCATGGAGTGCTAAATAACGCTAACTTGGTTGGCAAGCTGCCTTAATCAACTATACAGGTGCAATGCACAAACAGAAATATGACCTCATTAGTGTTGAGTGACAGTATAAGTATAAATTACTAGATTTAGAAATTTCACTCACTAAAACTGCTGCACTTCTTGGACAGTGTAGAGCTCAAACTAAGCCATATTATGTACCAGATAATTCCAGATAAAAATGCTCCAAAAGGCACCAACAGCATAAACACAGCAAAGAGGGCAAGTTTAATAAGTTAATAGTGGAGGCGAAATCTGGGAGAAGCTGATCAGCTTTAGGTATCTGAATTGGCACACCTATCAATATGGCTATCCCCCTAGAGGCCAAATGAGGCTGTAAATGACCTTTTTTTAATGCTGTACAGTTGGGCATTTTAATTTGGGTGTTTATAGAGATTTGGAGTCAGCCTCAGTTGGCACCTAGAGGAGTTTTTGCCACTTAAGCATTAGCTTAATTTTTTAGCCCTGGAGGTTTGGTAAGCACTGCAGCGAATGTATGAAAGCAGCTTTTTAGTGTGAATATGATAATTAAATAAAACATATATTTTTATTAGTATTTTGTTTGAGTTTTTTTTTTTTTAACATAATTACTTTTTAAAAGCTTTCCGAGCAAGTGAACAGCACCTCATCTGTTGCTGGGCTCACATCCGATTGAGTCTCCATATGAAACACTATAAGCAGGGAAAGCCACTTTTCATGGGAGCAGAGAGAAAATAAAAAACTCATAAAGAGTCCATCCCTGAGCTCTGCCGGCTTGTAGAACAAACAGCTAAAAGGATATGAAATAAAGCCTTCACTCAGTCTTCTCTAAAAATTTCTTCCAGCCCTCTCTACCCTTTCTCTGTCTCTCCATCAGTCTGACTGTGCTTTCAACTCTCACTCTCCTCTCTCATCTGAACAAGGACATTCAGTACATCACCACAAAAAAATGTCATCTCCATCTCCATCTCTACTCACAGCTGTTGCTATGGTCACAGCAATAAACCTGACTGTGCTGCCTCACTCCAAACTGAATGAGTGCTTATATAGGATGTGCTTTTGCCCTTACATGTGTCAAAACTATGAGAAAACAAACATGTATGCACCTGCATCGTTCTTCGATGGAGACCAAACTGTTATGAGGAACCACTTGAGCAGTCAATTGACAGCTGTCGAGTGTTGCCATAGGGGCAGATTGATAAGCAAGCGTGTTAACTGGCATTTGACATAGAGGAGATAGATTACGTTTAGGTAATGACTAGCTGAGTGGTATTTAGATGTGGAATGCTGTTCCATCTCCCTGGCACTGTCACATGCTCATTAAGAGCATTAGAGCATGTCATTAACATACACACATACGCTCACTAAAGCGTAACATTAAATAGATTTAATTATTTAAGTTTCTGAGTCTCTGAATAACGACAACAAGCTCACAGTGCATTCAACTTCCAAACAAATGACTCGTCAGTACATTTCTAATTAGTGCAGAGAAGAGGAAAAAGATTGGTATTAACCTGGGCTTACTCATTCTGTGTGTGTAAAAATGTGTGAGCATATGTGTGTGTATTCATTCTCAAGTAATTATATTTCCAGGCAGTGCTGAGTAGAGAGGGGCAGGACTGTGTGTATATTCCATTCGGCTTATCAGACTTGTCCAATCCTGAGGTAGATCAGATCGAACAGTAAAAGCTCATTAATTACGGATGGTTGCTGAGCGACAGAGAAAAAAGGCAGCGAAGGGGGGTTGAAGAAGCAAGGTGAGGGGACAGATGGGTGAGAAGAGGGTAACGTGCAGTACTGGAATGCTGAAGCTGAGATATAATAATTAGAAATCGTGTTCTCATCGTCCTCTGGTTTGAGGAGTCAGCAAGAACTGCTTTGGAGATCAAAGGTTAAATGTTGCCAGTCATCTCTGTTGATGGAGGTAGAGACTAAACGCTGTGTGATCCTTTCCAGCATATGAAGGAGGATCACACAGTATACACTTAAAGAACGTCAGATTTCAAGAAAATGTTGTTATACAGAAAACTGCATTTGTGGAAGATATCCTTGAAATAAAATTTCAGCTGAGTTTCACTATAAGATTATACTTCTGCAA